TGATGGTAAATAAACACGAAGATGTTTTGCTGTTTAATTTGAATGTTTGTGTACGTAATACTGCCATAATACTTCACGTATAACGCCGTAATATAACAGTGCCACCGCAAGGCCGCTGGACATAAAGATATGAGAATGGTACAGTACACATCGCAGTCAAGTCGCCTGTTGATGTGCGGTTGAGTGTGAATCATCGGAGTCTCAGAGTTCGTGTTCATAACATTGATGCGCACTAATGGTCGAACACTTGCAAAGCCCCGGAACCAACGCTAGACATGACATGTTAAGCATATATATATTGTGTGTGTGTGTGTTGTGTGTGTGTGTGTGTGTGCGTGCCTGTGCGTGCGTTGCGTGCGTGCGCGTGTGTGCGTGTGTCCGTTGCGTGCGACCTGTGTGGCGTGACCGTGCGTGCGTTGCGTGCCGTGCGCCCGGTTAGTGTGTGCGTGTGTGTGTGGGTGTCTGGTGTATGTATTGTGCTTACACCAGCAGAGCCTCAATCACTGTTGCTCTTCTTGTGGTAGGACCGTAGGAAAAATATTTCAATTATAAAATAAGGATGGTCTTTACAATCAGGTCATTAAGAGCCAGTAAAGTAATGAACCACATTGTGGGCCTCAAAAATGGAATATGGGCCAATTATTTGGCACTAGTTAGCCTCACCTACAACAGCCGAAGAAACTGCTTGAAACACATTTACTTTTCAAAATATGTAAGTATGTCGCATGTCTCTCTGATTTTTTTTAATGCTTGAGCGGTGTGTCTTCTGACATACAGCAAACCATTAAGCATTATTAAAAATCAGAATAACACTATGGAAATGAGTATTGCTTAAAATCTGAATACCCCGTAATATGATGTTGATTGGTGACTAATGATTAATTGCCGACTTTCTGTAATGGGCAAATGAGGTGCATATTCCGCAAAAAATGTCCTCTCCGAATTTCAGTATTCGTAGAGGAGTTCAGTAGACCTTTACTCAATGAATATTGTTTTTCTCCCGTAAAAACAACTAATATATATCCTTACAAACTTATAATATTCACTTTGTCGACAACTCCGCTCAGTTTTAGCCAGTTGGACGTTGGCACTAATTGTCAGTTTGAATTCCGTCAAAAGTGTCCCTCTCCGAAAAATTAAAAACATTGTTCTTCATTACTCTTGAGAAAGATCAAACATTATTTAATTTAGTATTATTTCTATATATATATAATTATTGGCTATTTCACATAATCACACATCAAAACCATATCTCTACGTCCACCTCAAGGAGCAATTATATGTTATTTCTAGCAGTACGATATCACGGGACCCATGACAAATTATTTTGACTCATAGAGCATGTTTTTTAATGTATAAAAAGAAAAGTTGAAAACTTGACGCCTCAAGATTTGTATCAGATTCCTTACATGTAACTTGTTTCAACACAGCAACAAAAATTTGCACGAAAGCAAAATAAACATTTTTTTTCCCCCCGTTGAGACAAAATGGGTGGTACTTGATTGTAAAAACAACCCTAAACGTGATTACGTGAAAAAACATCGCGCAAGACTAACAAGTGTTATAGTTTCAAATCGGAGCTAGTATAACAGATTTTCATTAATTATTAGCACAGCCGTGCGTGGATGTGGGCCATCATGTGGGATATGATTTGGCGGGATCCCTTCAATGAGCGGGCCATACTTGAATACGTGGAACGCATGATTAAAGCGGCGGGGCATCTGAGTGAGGGGACACACTTAAAAATGGGTAGACACGGGATGCGTTGCGGACATACTGAGTCAGCAGGATATATCTGTGTAGCGGGCACACCTGATACGACGAGCGGGTGATACAGCGCCACTGTAACATTTCACCTGGTGGCATGATGCAGTGCTGACCTTGACATTAAACAAGAGTTTCAAACAACAAACAACAGCATGAATTAGCGCGCCAATCTTCTTGTTTAGTTCAAGGTATACTATTACCGGGTACGATGATCATGGACATGTTATGCTGTGCTCCGTGTGCGTGCGGTCAGGCCGTCTTGCTGTGTAGTGTGTGGTGTGTTGTGTGCGGTGGTAGTGTCGTCGTGCGCTGTGCTTGACTGTTGTGTGTTGTGTGTGTGTTTGTGTGTGTGCTGTGTTGTGTGTTGGGGGTGTTGTGCTGTAGTTGCAGTGGTACGCGTGTGTCCGTGTACCTCGCGCGGCGCCGCGCGCGCGCGACGCGCGCGTGTGTGTGTGTGTGTGTGTGTGTGTGTGTGTGTGTGTGTGTGTGTGTGTGTGTGTGTGCGTGCGTGGGTGCGTGCACGCGTGTGCGCGTACGTGTGTCTGTGTCTGTGTGCGCGTGCGTGCGTGCGTGTGTGCGTGCGTGCGTCCGTGCGCGTGTACTGCTAACACTCACTAATTTTTGTGTTTACGGTATCGCACCCGTGCGGCACTTATACGGTTGCACTCGCTCTGTGCTAAAGGACTCGACCTATAAAGGCGGCAGCACACATATTGATTACAAACAAATTGACCGTCTTCCTTTCTTTGTCCCTGCATTCGGCTAGCTCTTAAGTTAGCAGCTAGCAAATAAATGCAGATGCGTAATGTGTGAGAGTAGCGCACAGCGTCTCATCAAGCCTTTACTACGATGTCATCAACCTTTTATGCGCTTCAGAGAACTCGTTCGTTCTCTCGTCTGCAACTCACACTCTCTCGTCTACCACGCCAGACTGTCTCGACTCCGACTCCCCTTCACGTACCTCGCCGGTGTATTATAATAAATTCGCGGGAATTCGCTCTCCTTGGCACTTCATAGTCGAGATAGTGGATCGAGTGTGCTTCATATTCCTTTAGAGTCTATCCCATGCATTAGGGCGGAAAAGGGAGAGGGGAGAGAGAGGTGAAGAAGGGGAAGAGTGCATGGCATGCAGAGAGGCCGGGTGAGAGAGTGCAAGAAACGGAGAGCGGGAGATAAAGAGACGGGAGAAGGCATGAAAAATTGAAGCGAGAGAGAGAAATAAAGAGAGCATGAGAGAGACGGAAAGAGGCGGAGAGAATATATTTCGTACGCCAATGTCCCTTGATACACCGTTTGATTTACCACGCAGTAGGAGCGCTGTTGTTACACGTCTGACGCTTCGCTGCGGCACAGACTGACTACCTGCTTACGTTATTGATTGTTGTTGGTTAACCGACCTGCTGCTACTGATGCTGCTACTGCTGCTGCTATTTGCTACTGCTGCTACTGCTGCTGCTACTGCTGCTGCTACTGCTGCTACTGCTGCTGCTGCTGCATGCTACTGCTGTTACTGCTACTACTGCTGTTGCTGCTGCTGCTGCTGCTGCCACTACTACTGCTGCTACTAGCTGCTACTGCTACTGCTGCTGCTACTGCTACTGCTTCACTTCTTCCCACCTCCCTCATTCCTCCCACTTCTCTCCCTTCCATCACGCTTCCTGTTATCCGCTCTCCATGACATTCCCACCCCAACAAGAGTAGATAATAACACAAGAGTTACACACCCGATTCCCGGATAATCATTTTTAACCGATTTTTCTTATCAAAATTTGCCACCAATAAAGAAGCAAGTGTATACGTTTCTCAGCTTATTATGACAACTAATCACTCACCTTCGTGGTACTGATATTCGTTTACATATTATATTTGCCAGCGTATTGCTGTAAATCGTAATCTTGCACGAGCTGAATTCGCACAATTTACCGCTATTGTGTAGAGGTGTTAAGCCAAAATTTGAAGCTATAGTGGCGCCAATATTTAGCAACGGACTGTTTCCAAATCATTCGTGCTCCGATAGGGGTTTAATGTACTTGATTACCTGCGCGTGCGTAACGTGATACTTACTGCAAACTACTACAGAGAACATTGTTATTATTGTATTATTACTTATGTAAGATAGTAAGTCAATTTCTTGTGTTGCGATCACAATAACTGAGCGCGTCTCGCGGTTCCTCACGAGATCAAAAGTCGAAATTTATATTGTCTCTCAACCCTATCGGGGCACGAATGATTTGGAAACAGTCCGTTGCTAAATATTGGCGCCACTATAGCTTCAAATTTTGGCTTAATACCTCTACACAATAGCGGTAAATTGTGCGAATTCAGCTCGTGCAAGATTACGATTTACAGCAATACGCTAGCAAATATATGTAAACGAATATCAGTACCACGAAGCTGAGTGATTAGTGGTCATCATAAGCTGAGAAACGTATACACTTGCTTCTTTATTGGTGGCAAATTTTGATGAGAAAAATCGGTTAAAAATGCGGAAATCGGGTGTGTAACTTTTGTGTTATTATCTACTCTTGCACCCCACTCCCCTAACCTTTCCCTCACCGCCCTCCTCCTAGTGATGGTAAGAAACAGCGCCACCGACCCTGGCAGCCCCACTTAGCCCGCATCTTGATGCTCTTTGTTTGAGCGGCAGTAGTAGCAGTAGTAGCAGCAGCAGCTGCGCTAGCCGGGGCAGCGACCGTTCAAACCGTCACTGCCAATACTCGACGCGCGCTCGTTCGCTCACTCACTTACACTCCCTCCCTCTCGTTTTCTCTGCGCATACTCGATCGCTGACGCAGCAACACATGCAGCGCTGTGACAAGAAGCGAGGGGCCTCAGCAACGCACCACTGCTGCGGCTGGCATCGCACGCTGCGGCTGTGTAGTGAACGAGCTCCTACAACTATTACTACTACTAGTCATAGTACTATACAGACACACGCTCGCGCGGTAACGGACGTAAAATCACAGTAACGGCGCGGTGAAAAAGCGGACCCTCAGGGAAATATATGAAAGGTGTGCGGGACGCACGCAGTGACTCACGCAGCTATCAGCCACACGTGAGAAACAGCAGGAAGCTAACGTGTGTGAAAGATATTGCACTGAAGTCAAAGGCATCTGCCTACCTCCTATAGCAGAAGGAGGAAACAGAGGGGGCGGAGAAGGAGGAGGAGGAAGAAGAAGAAGAAGAAGAAGAAGAAGAAGAAGAAGAGGAAGAAGATAAAGAAGAAGAAGAAGAAGAAGAAGAAGAAGAGGAAGAGGAGGAGGAGCAGGAGCAGGAAGAAGTGGAGGAGGAGGAGAACGCGGCACACGTGTGTTCGTGTCAGGTAAGCAGCGATTGATGAAGATATTTAACATACCTGTATTGTTGTGTGTACCTGCGTTATTGTCCACCGTGTTGCGTAAACGCGTACGTAATTTGTGCGCATACGCTTATACGGTAAGTTACCTGTGTATAACGGTATCTATATGTCAATAATATGTGTCTCCCATACATACGATCCATAGATCCATCTTCCCTAAATCGTGTCCTGCGCGCGCGCGTGTATGTGCGTGCCTGTGTGTGCCTGTGTGTGGGTATTAGTGCGCGCGTGCGTGTGTTTGTGTCCATGTGTGTGCGTGTGTGTGTGTTCATGTGTGTGCGTGTATGTGCAGGTATGAGCACATGAGTGCGTGTGGGCGCGCATAAGCGATTTCGCGCGTGTGTGCGTGCATGCATGTGTGAGCGCGTGTGGGCGTGCGTGCGCCTGTGTGCGTGTAGGTACTATACAGGCAGCTGGAGAAGGCTTGTAAGCTACGCAGGTTGCTTCCGGTATGTGCGAACGCTCAAACATATCACAATGCGCGTGTATGTGTAGCTATAATAACGTTCAGACAGTGGCTGTATTTAGTAGCACCTGCTGAGTACGTGAAATGGCCTGTAGCGCCACCTGCCGGGTGTGTTAACGCAGCTACGGGCGGGTACCGATAGCGCGCGGTGAAATATTCATTATTCACTCTCTTTTATTGTTAAAATTTACGAGCACGTTTACGGCTATGAAACGTCTGTAAAATAGCGTCTATGTGTGTATATATATATATATATATATATACTATATATATGCATCATATACGTAGTCAGCGTGCGTAATAAAGCACAGGTGGCTGCCTATATGCGTATGTTCGGGTGAAACAGGGAGAGAGCGAGAGCGAAGCAGAGAGGAGAGAGAGACGAGATGAGCGAAGAGAGAGAAGCGAGAGAGAGAGAGAGGAAGACGAGAGAGAGAGAGAGAGAGAGAGGAGAGAGAGAGAGAGGCGAGAAGAGAGCAGCAGAGAGAGAGCCGAAAGAGAGGGGAATCTGTTTTCTGAGGGCAACGCGCTTGGGAGTGCATGTAGCGTTCGTTGCGCATGTGTGTGTGCGTGTGGTCCGAGTGCATGCTGTGCGCTTGAAAAATGTGTGTGTATGTGTAAATCTAATACTAATTTGATCTTTTAAAGTTGGGGATCAATTAACAGACATTTGTTGCGTATATTGACACCGTACACTTCAACAATTTAGGATTTTGCGTAACTTGAACCGTATTTAAATCCGTGCAGCATAGTCATGAAGCAATAAATGCCATATAATAATTATAGTTAACTGCCGTGACAAATTAACTCGCATGAGCATTGAGTTGGTTGTTGAGTGATGGCGCTTTTTAATGCGGTCCGTGAGTGCCTTGGCCTTCAAGTGCGGCGGGGGGGCGGGCCCCGCCAGCAGCAACAACAACAAAACAAGCAGCAGCAGCCAGTAAGTAGTAGTAGGTAGTAGCAGCAGCAGCGAGCAGCAGCAGTAGTAGTAGCAGCAGCAGCAGCCAGCAGTAGCAGCATCCAGCAGCAAGCAGCAGTAGTCAGTAGTAGGCGTAGTAGTAGTGGTAGCTAGTAGTAGTAGTCAGTAGTAATAGTCAGTGAGTAGTAGCAGCCGCGTCCGGCCGGGGCAGCAGTAGGTAGAAGAGCAGCAGCAGCAGTTATGCATGCAGCAGCAGCAGCGTGGCAGCAGCAGCAGCAGGACCAAGTAGTAGTAGTAGTAGTTAGTAGTAGTATGTAGTAGTAGTAAGCAGCTAAGCAGCGAGCAGCATAGTAGTAGGCAGCGAGCACTCACTCTGTAGCAGCCAGCGGGAGGCAGTAGGCAGTAGTAGTAAGTAGAGCAGCAGCACTGTTGCAGCGGGGAGTAGCAGCACAGCGTCAGCAAGTAGTGTGTAGCTAGAGCAGCAGCGGACAGGTCACGATAATGGAGTATGTGAGAGTAGTTATATATTGGTAAGTAGTAGTAGGTTAGGAAGTAGTAGTAGTAGTAGTAGCAGCAGCAGCAGCAGCAGTAGTGCAGCAGGCCGGACGCAGTGCGAGGGAAAATCGCAGTAGCAGCAGCAGTAGTCGCAAGCAGCAGCAGCAGATAGTAGTAGTAGTAGTAGTATGAGTAGTAGGTGTAGTAGTAGTAGTAAGTGAGTTAGTAGTAGCAGCGAGTAAGAATAATATAGATCCTATATTATCTTACTCCTCCGTAGTAGTAGTAGTAGTAGTAGAGGTAAGCTTAGTAGTTAGTAGTAGTAGTAGTATGTAGGTAGTTAGCAGCAGACAGTAGTAGTATGTAGTAGATAGCCCAGTCAGCCAGCAGCAAGCAGCAGCAGCCGCAAGTCAGCATGTGCTTGCAAGCCTAACTGTGTAAGCCTCGCTGAATCAAAGCAATGAGTGAGTCCGCGGAACATAATCTATAAATTGTAATTATAGGCCAAATAACGTGAAGCCGAATAATTAACGTCACAGATACGTGCAATACCTTATATTATTGCATTTAATCCTCCCTCCTCGCCATGCATTCTCTCCCCCTCTCCCCTCTCTCTCTCTCTCTCTCTCTCTCTCTCTCTCTCTCTCTCCCTCTCTCTCTCCATGCTCCTGCTTGGGCGCTCTAGCTCTCTGCATGTTTCATTCTCTCTGTCTATTTCTCTCCCTTGGATCCGCCCTCTCTATTTGCTTCTCTCTCTCCCCCTTTCTCTCGGTACCTCTCTCTGTGTCATTTTGTCTGTCTGTCTCTCTCCCACTTTCTTCTCAACCTTTCTGCATCCCTTCCCTCCCTCGTCTGGCTGTCTATGACTATCTGACTCTGTATCTTTCTATATCTGCGCTATATCTTTTCTGTGTCCCAGGATACATACAGCAGGTGGCAAATATTGTATTCGCCATGCAGGCCCTTAGCACATAACAGTACATCAGGGAAGAATTTTGTTCAGTGCGCATACTGTAACACCGTATTGTAGCAATGAGATGCAATTTACATTTCATTCAACGGCGTTGTGATATTTGCTATTCTAGACGAAATCTAACAATAATTTTGTTCGTGGTTTATTTTCATATCGCCGGTCTAACGTATTCATTAGAATGTGTGATATAACGTCAATTTCTCGGCGATATTACGCTATTTCCCGTCATTCTCCTAACCTTGCACTGACGATCGAGGGAATCGCTATATAGCGGCCATGTTTGAACCGCCACCACAGCAACTATGTGCACCACAGAGAGGCCAATTTGCGCTACGTTACCAGGAGAGAGCATTTTCCTGGTCGAAGAGATGCTAGTAGAAGCGTTCGAACGACCGCTACTAGCGTACAAGAACTCAAGGGTAAAATGTTGATGCACACATTGTAACACAGAGCAACATTAGGTAAATAAAACACGAGTCGTCAAGGCAGGGCGCAGCTGCTCGCTGGCTATCAAACGTATGCGCTCATTACTGCTACTGTGACATAAATATTTCATTTACAACGCCCTAAAACATGTCTCACAAAACATCACGTCGATAATAATAATAATAATAATATTATCAATATTCATAGGAATATCAACAAACACAACAACAACAACAGCAATAATAATAATAATATTAATATTAATATTAATAATGATACCGTCACGTGAATAGTTAGATGCAGTGTAATAGGAGGCAGATTGGCGGGGCGGGCAACGCGTTGTGAGTGTTTATGGTGATCGTTTTATATATATGATATAATAGGTATGCTACGTGGATGCAACATATGATCCTCGGGCCATTTGTTATTTTACGAACAAGACAGGGAAGGATGAGTCATTCGCATGCATGTTAGAATGTCTCCCCTATAATGTCATGACAACATAAGGTCAAGTGCGCCAAGAATAACTTTCATTTCGTTAGAATTTCTCATTCTATTTACGTTGTTCTCACAGAAATATTCCCGTTGGCAAGTCATCATCGGCCCGACCTTCACATTCTAAAAGGTCGTGAGGTTCACAATCGAAATGCGTATACAAAATGGTGGCCGACAATCGTCGAACACGTGACAGCTAACGAAGTCGACAACACAGATAACAAGCTCAGCAAAGCAGAATTGACGCCGGATATTTCGGAAAAGAAATCCGGACAAAAACTCGTAGAATATCGTGTGAAGACGAGAAGGCGATGAGAACTACGTTTTCGCGCGCAGTAAACACCTTACGCCGGAGGTGTCCCCCGACACGGTTGCGTCGGTAGGGCAGATTGACTTATAATACAGCGGCAACACGCGCGACAATCCGTCGTAAGATTCAATCATCGCGGATCAAGAATCGCCTCTTTTTACTCGATATTACTTGTCAGTATAGATAGCGGAGATTGGATGTTACGTTTTCTTTAAAATCTGCCACGCCGACGCACGCACACGCACGCACGCGCACACAAACACACGCCCATACACACACATACACACACACACACACACACACACAC